GGGGGGGGGGGGGGTGTTCCTAGCCGGGAGTCCTAGAGAGTTTAACATGGAGAAGTGAGACACGAGTGTTGGATGTTATGTAAAATGGACCCGGAAGGCGATGCGATGCGCGATACTCCGCGCGGTAAGAGCACGGGGAGTAACGTCGACGTGATACTTCCAAATTACATTCAGTTACCGGCAAGTCGAGAAGTTTCGAATTTCGCTCGCGGCTAATCTTCAGACCAGGCGAAGCGAGGATAGGGCGGTTCATTAAACCCCATCGCGCGAGTCGGAATTCGCGCTTTGCTTTACGCGATCTCTATCGTTTAACCGTGCGCGCGCGCGCGCGCGCGCGTGATTTTTAGGCGACACGCGACTCACCGACGAAAACGACGCGTCACGTCATCGTGCATTCGCGGTGAGGCCGATGCGTCGAGCGTTATCGTCGGGCCGATCGATAACTATATCCCGACCCGGCAAAATCTTGATTTCGCAGCGTTGTCGCGAGCATCGACATGTAGTACTGGATGGAGCATTCGGCAAGACTTCTTTGATCTTTCGTTTTAAGAGCGTAGAAAGAAAAAGCTAGATGTGTGGGCACGGATCTCTCTTTGTATTCTCTGTTTATTGGTTGAATTTTGTCTAAGAAGAAAGGCAATCATAAGGGAACAGTATCGTACTACTTAAAAGTTGTGAATATACTATATATGAGTTACTACATATCATTACATGTTGTACATGTGATACATATATATTACAAATTTCTTATATATTCTATAAACATTTTTATATTTTACCTTTTTCTTTTTCCTTATATCCTATATTTTATATACTGTTATAAAAAAAAATTAATTAAAATAATATAATTGTAAGTACCTCGTGGCCCCGTTGCTCCATAAACCGCTCCTACCCACACATCGTCTTGTCTCTTTCAACGTCTGTCAATAATACGATTTCGGCACAATGCTCCGTTCAGTACTATATGTCGATGATCGCAAGGAATTGACGTTCTTGCGCGCGTCATCGCGCGTATACGATAAATCACGCGAAATCACACACCCGCGAGCGAGCAAGAGAGAGAGAGAGAGAGAGAAAGAGAGAAGATTAACAACGATTAGAGTTCTTCAAGTCAAAATTGGGACACCGTTCGCCATTTGTAGGGAGGAAGTGAGTGAGTGAGTGAATGAGAGAGAAACTGTAACATGCTTCGTCATTTCAGTCTTAGAGCTTTTTTCTCACTCTACTAGAGTTTACTAGAGTTTCTCTCTCACTCCCACTTCGTAAAAATGGCGGACAGGTTATGGACAAATCAGGAATCAATCAATGTCTTGTGCAAACTCCGACAAGAGAAACTCTAACGGTGGCGATTTTCATCCTGTTTCAGGAGCGGGGGAGTCCGGCAAAAGTACGATCGTCAAGCAGATGAGGATACTGCACGTCAATGGTTTCAGCGAGGCGTAAGTTTTATTTTTAAAAGCGACGAACGCGTGCGCGCCGATCGGTCGGTCCGCGACCAATCCGGCCGTGTGTCGTTAAAGACCGTAATCGCTCTTTTGTTTTCCTGGCTTTTCATTCAACATCTCGCATTACAATTAAACATCAGGATGAGCTGTTTACGAGATACAAAGCCATTCGAAATCGCATTGATGAATCTTCCGCTCGAGCCGCGATTTCAAACTCAAATCTCGAAAGCGTCCTTGAAAGGCCCTCGAACCGCGAAATTACCAGTATCAACAATGAGACCGTATCGATGGAGGCTGTTTACGGTTTATGTAGTCGCGAACAAGCGAAGTCCAATTGGACAGAGGAAGAGAGAGAAAGAGAGCGAGCATTCTCTCAATAGAAAACAAATTCTGCCATTGAACAAGACGAAGAGTTTACAAACTTACCCCAAAAATTATGGTCAACATTTTATCCGCGGAGAGAATATTAGTTTCTTTTTTCATATGAATAATTTTCAGTTTTGCTATGCTTCTAGAAGTGCAGAGTTGGGCTATTAATAAAATTTATCTCTGTATTAAGCAACGTGGTAAACTTTATTCAAAACAGAAATTATTAGTGATATATTTCAGTTCCTATATGAAATGAAAGAATCAATTATTGCACGAAGAGAATTTTACAACTTTAAAAAATTACTGTAAAAGTTTAAGAAAATTATTGTAAATTTTCTTAACCAAAGAATAGACCGACTTTCTGTAATTGACTATCCTGTTATTTTATATGTGATATGTATATTTTAAGGAAACGTGCTATTAAAAATTTGCTATATTCCTAACGAAATTACTTATGTTTTTTAGCAAGATAGACATTATTGATAATTTTTGCATCACTGGAAACATAGTAAAACTGAAAAGAATTTATATGAAAGAAAAGGAAAAAAACTCTTTCATATGCAGAATATCGATCTATATCACGATTACAAAATTCTATAGTAATTTTTACTATAAAACTCTTGCATGAAAGCATCGCGCGCTCGGGACACCGGCCAACATCGTTCTCTTCTCTAAAAGCGCTTTCCCACGACGTAAATTGTAAGTACAGTCCTTGGGAGTGTTCGAGTCGCGAAATGTGGCGTCTCTCGCGTTGAGCGCGTAATTAGCGAGCGATCAGTTTTTCAACGCAGTCGTGTCGAATGATTCATCTTGTAACTGGTTCGGTCCGCTGTGTCAGCGATATCAACACGTGGCTGATACGAATTCGCTATTACTACTTCCCTTTCCTATACGAACGTGCGTTCACAACGCGTTACTTTGTCTGCGGCATTGCGCGTGGTTTCCTACGATTTCTCTCAAGTTCGCTCACATACGGTATCTTCAAAACGCATAAATTACAATCATTATTTTAATGAAACGCTAATCGATCCAAGTCAAAATTTTAGTTTTGCTTTTGGCTCCCCTGAACATACTAACATCTGTATATCCTGTAGGATCAGTGTATGTTTAAAACACATGAAAACTGAAGTACTACTCAGCGCCTTTAAATGGCAGAAAACGTGCAAAATGCCACTGGGTGGGTTCTAAAGAGGATCTCCCAGCAAAGTTAAGTAGAAAAGAAGTTGACGTAGGCTACAGAGTGTCAAAATAGGTGTTAAATGGAATATTGAAGTCGAAAGAGTTGGGTCAAAATTTTGACTCGCTCTTGTTTCGTTAACGAGGCGTTTTGCAATTTGTTTTCTTTGTTTGCCTGACAAGGACGATTTCGCCGACGTATGATTCCTCTCGACGCTTTTTCCTCGATACGATTATTTCTGTTTGCGAACGCATTTATTTTGTTTTTTTTTTCTGAATCACTAATTTGCTGTGTCTCATGCTTATAATAGTCCGACATTTCGGTTCGCTCGGCTTCTTTGATTCTGCTGATCCGCGTTAAAATAATTCTTTCGTCTCAAGGAGCTCGTTCGAAAAGAAAAAGGAAAATTTTAATCTATAAATCCTTGCGTGAATTCTTTTTGATTGTTGTGCTCGCGATTAAGTACACACTAGATAATATTTCTTAAAACTCCCGGATACTCGTCAATGGCAATGCTTGGATCATGACGTCAGAGGCGAGAAATGACACGCTAAAAATTTCTGCGCGCGTATTTTTAAATAAAAAGATAATTGAATGAAAGGAAATTTGAGTTCGCTTGGGTATATTTGTAAAATGTTTTGAAAACTATGCTTTTCTCCCTTAACAGAGTCAATAAAGAGCCGTAAAATTGACGTGACTAAATCACAAGAAAAGGTAGTGTTAATTTTACTGTTATTTATTGATTGTTAAAGATAATCTTGAGAGCACTTTTTATAAATATGCTTGAGCAGTCTTCAGTGTTCTTTCATACAAATATCTTTTGATTTGAAAATAGCATGCAAAATTTTGAGCATACATTTTCTCGTTTCTAATATCATCAGTTTCACGGTGAGAGACCTCACTGTGAGAAAAAAATATCTAAAAAATAAAAAAATATTTATTCAGTAGTTGCTGAATAACATATCTACTCATATCTAAATTCTTTCGCTTAAATAGAATAAACAGTTGTTAAGGGTTTAAAAAAATGTATATTTTCTTATTTGAAAAATATTTTATATCAGTATGTAAATATGTTATTAGTACTCCCATATCGAATAAATATTTCTTCCATATTCCTTCTCTCAGAGTGCAGACGCCTTATTTTAGATACACAACGAACGTTAAGTATGCCCTTTCAATTCCAAGCTCTTTTTTTATACGAGCGTGTATAACATCGTTTCGGCTTGAGAATCAGAAAGACATGTTTAGCATTCGAAATGTATTTAGAATGCGGCTCCAGGAGTCTTAATGCACGAGTTTTCGATCGCAAACCCGACGAGAGAGTATAAATATATCCGTATGAATTGAAGCAAGACGTTACCATTAACGGCTCCTTTTATACACGCAGAAAATCAGGGGCAACTGGCTACGATGAATACGACATGTAAACAGACAGACTCGTGTGTGTCGTAAATTCTGTCTGCTTTAGTCGCTGATAACGCAGCAGAGAGCCGCTCGCTCCTTATTTCTATATTTCGCAAATGATTTCTTTTAATTTCGCCTGGACTCGCGCGTTGTTTTTCTTTCTTTTGTCTTTTTCTTCGCGACAACGAGCTCTCACGCGGGTTCTCGAATTCTTTTCGGTCTCTATCGCGCGAATAAAGAGGTTTATCTTTCTGGCAGAATCTCTGAAAACACACATCCGAAAATACGAATTATTGAACGGGCCGGTGGATTCCAGTCGTTCCTCTAAACACGTGGTAGTTGGTGTGCTAAAATTATCGAATTACTCTGAAAATACCGATAAGAACACATGTCTGCTGTCGTTTCATCCAGCACGTGACTCAATTATTATTGCCGGTCGACTGCTCTCGGTCTACTCGCGTACGTTACTATACATCTGTACAATTCATTGTTGGCCGTAATGCCGTTAGTCGCATTTAATTATGCGCGGCCGACAATGAATTGGCGCCGTGTTTCTTGACGACGCTGATGCCGGACGTGTTCCTTCTTGTGCGTGTTCGCAGGGAGAAGCGGCAGAAGATCGAAGACATTAAGAAGAACATTAGGGACGCCATTTTGGTAAGTGTCCCAGCCGTGTCTACGTTTATTCTCCCGCGCATGCAATTTGTAGCTATTACCCGGGGAATAAAATTAAAGGCGCGTTGTCTATAGATTCGTGGGGGGAGGGATCGGATATCGTAATTCGGCAGGTCGTTTTGTTTTCCTCCATAGCGACGGGGGACCACGACTCGACCGTGGTCGTCGCAGTCGACTCGTCGACGTCGCATACAAATCTCGCATTTGCCTCCCGAACTTGGTCACATCGGACGTATTAAATCGTTACGCTCGAAATAACTTGGACGTAACCGTTATGTGACACGCAAATTCGCGATATCAAATCTAACTGGAAGCATATTGTCACGCCGATTTGTCATTCGAGTCTCCGTATTTAGCATTTAGACTGCGCGCGATTACGTACGTAACCTCGCGGAATCCAGTCACTTCCGTGGCCGCATCGAAGATGCGAAATAACGCGGTGATTTCGCGCAGAATTCTCGCGGGATAATCGAAACGACGCAATTGCCGGAGCTGTTCTAACTGTGACAAAGGCAGAAGAAGATCGCGCCGATTGTTCGGAAAATCATTAGGCGGATTCCAACGTTACATGACGTTGATGTGAAAATACGTCTTTAATGTATCTTTAAGAGTAAGACAAGGTCCACAAGATCGTATGTGCTATATATACAGATAAATACATACTGCACTCAAGTAAATGATGCTTGCCTCAAATATTTCATAAATTTAGGTATCCGCTGATCTGATTATAAATTTTCATTATAAGCATCAAATTTATTCAAGATATGTACACTCTGAATTCTAATAAGTTTAATATTTCAATCATTTATGTTAAAACAAAAGTTCGGTTTACCTACTATATAGTATCGAATCGAGTTTTTCTTCGATAAGGATTTATAATTCCTGTAATTTATATTCCTGTAAAGAGAATCATTTCGATTACATGATAATGAGCTTTTCTACAATAAGTATACATGTTAAGACTATAACGAGAAAAAAATACTTGAAAATTTACTTGTAGAATATAAAGTCTATTTTCGCAGAAATAAACCTTATTTCACACAAAAATAAACTTTATATCCCACAAATAAATTTTTAAGTATTTTTTTCTCAGTGTATCATCAAGAAAATATCCTTTGCTGAAGATGACTATTACTTGACAGAAGGAGAGCAAGTTGAACAATTGCTTTTCCTAGCAGTAAAACGATATTTCTCTATGTGCACACGATCGTGTCGAGATATGAAAATATATGTTTTATCTTTCTTCCTTTCTTGAATTTCTTTGCAGACGATAACCAGTGCGATGAGCACGTTAACGCCGCCCGTCACGCTGGAGGATCCGTCGAACCAAAGCAGAGTGGACTACGTCCTGGAAGTCTCGTCTTCCCCAGACTTCGATTATCCTCCGGTGAGTCAGCTTGACTATTTGCGTTGCGCGCCGTGTATTTTCTCGCCGCGAGAAACGAAACGGGCTTCACCTTCACACGCGGTAACTCATCGACCTTCTCGCACGCGCGCTCGGGATATAATACCGTAAGAAAGAGACCACACGGACGATCGGCAGCGATCCGCCGTTTCCGAAAATACGGCTCCGAATTTGCGCGCCCAGCCAGAATTTAGCGTTGAAGCGCGCACACAGGTCGATTTATGCACTTGACACTCCGCTCCTCTTAATCGTCTCGCGCGTTGCGATTTTCCCGGCGAAACTGGGTCGCCTGCTGCTCGTACATGCGCAACACGTGTCGCTTATTATAGTTCTTCGCGTTAATTTTCGCGCCATTACGATGTACCCTCGTATGGGATATCGTCGTCATGGTCGATTGTTGTCCGGTATGTGCGCTTATTCACTTCTAATGTCGTGTGTTTGCTTTGCGTTGTGCTTTGTGCGTGTGCAAATTCATAGGTATCCGCGACGATACATCGTCTTAATTATATCGTATAATTCGAAGGTCAGTTTCGATCGTATTGACTATCGATCGCGATAAAGTTGTACGATCTCTCCTCTTGCTCCTCCCTTCTCTTCCTCCTTCTCCTGCTCCTCCTCCATCTCCTTCACCAGCGTGATACAGATCGCTCTCTGTATCGTGCGTTGAATCGCATCCCAGAATACCCGGGAGCAGCTCTTGGCGATTGTTCGGTATCATTTAACGCGAACACACATTCGTGCGTAATGGCGGCAGCGATACGTGTGGCGAAATTCGCTCGACGATGATCGCGACGACATTTCTTCGCATCTCGTTAAACCGGCGGACGCACATCTGCGGATTAACGTAATGCGGCGCGCAAACACGTACGCGCGCGCCGGCTCTACCACGTGAGAACCACTGCGTGGCATGATCAGTGTTTACAATGTTTACACAGCCACCGCACATGTCGGTGCGCTATATATTGTCCTATACTACGATGCACTGCGCCATTTCTCACGTAAGTACATACGTACATACATAGGAAACTTCTCGTTGTGTCGCTCACGAATTCACGCGATCATTATACTAATGTGTACTAACGACAATTCTCACATCGATCCACCCACTCATCGTCCTGTCAATCAATGTATCACTGCCAAATCTCAGTAAGGACGCGACTTCTTTAGCGACAAAGAGAGAGAGAGAGAGAGAGAGAGAGAGAGAGAGAGAGAGAGAGAGAGAGAGAGAGGGGGGAGAGATAGAGGGTTATACCCTGAGAAATAATACATATTATATAATTTTATCCTTAGCAAATCCTCTGAATCTTACAAGTAAACCTACCCAAAAGTTATATTTCGAATTCTTTCTAATTTGGCAGAAATGTAGAAGTAGAAAAAATATTTAAGTCATATTTTTCATTTTCCACTTTGAGTTTCATGGGCCGTTTATAGCTTTTTAATGTTCTCATTCTTATCGTCAATAAGTACAACAAAAATGCATAAGAAATAAAATTGAATACAAGATATAGATGTTTTTGGTTTGCTGATTATGAATATGAAGTCAAATGTCAAGAAAAGATATATATATATATATGTATATGTATGTATATGTATGTATATACACACACACACATATATATACATTCCGATTCCTTTCTAATTTGTAAAACACAAATATAAAAGTACAAAAAATATTTAGGTTATATTTTTTTTATTTTGTCCCACTTTAAGTTTCACGAACAGTTTATAGCTTTTTAATATTCTCATTCCTATCATCAACAAGTACAATAAAAATGCATAAGAAATAAAGTCAAGTGTAAAATTATTTGTATAAATAATAAAATGTTTAAACAAAACATGTAAAAAGTTGAAAAAAAATTATTTATACAAATAATTTCTCGGTTTGGCCGAGATTCGAACCATTTTTGACTAATTTAGCACAGATTTGAAATATTTCGGTTGGAATTTCGGCTAAAGAAATTTAGAATGGTTCGTGTCTCAGCTGTGGCGATTTTGTTAAAATTTTTTAATTATATCTTGTATTCAATTTTATTTCTTATGCATTTTTATTGTACTTGTTGATGATAGGAATGAGAATATTAAAAAGCTATAAACTGTTCGTGAAACTTAAAGTGGGACAAAATAAAAAAAATATAACCTAAATATTTTTTGTACTTTTATATTTGTGTTTTACAAATTAGAAAGGAATCGGAATGTATATATATGTGTGTGTGTGTGTGTGTATATACATACATATCATACATACATACATACATATATATATATATATATATATATATATATCTTTTGAGTAGGTTTACTTGTTAGAGGATTTTACTCTTATATATGGTCTTAAGAAAAGCCTGAAACTAAATGAAAAATAATTTAGGCACATTCTTAAAGTTTCTTTTTTTTTTTTTTTTTTTTTTTTT